AGAGAAAGGCAGCCTTGGAGGCTTCCGTAAGTTACGTGATAACCGAGGTTTCCCGAGGTTCTCACGGAAAGTGGAATTTGTCCTCAAGGACGGGAATTCGGGTTCTCAATCTAGCTTTCTAAAAATAGAACTAAAAAATTCGCGACAGTAAACTGCAGTCATAGAGCATTGCTCAAGAATGCATGTATCATGCATTTCCACATGTTCTCCAAGCAGGAACATGTTCAAATGCACTAATGGGCTCTCAACACACTTGAATGCAGGAGCTTCATTCAATTTTGTGCACTTTGATTTGTTATCCCTACTTCATGAAAGACCAGCTGATTCTGGCTTACTCTTCTGTGCTCTCTCCCCTCTTTCCTTTTTTTTGTTGCTTCACCAGCGCAAGCTGGTGATGAGAGAAAAACTTTGCATTTGAAAGACATGCATGATAACATGCCTTGGGGTCAGCAAGCTGAACAGCCTGCAGCCCGTCATGTCCTTGTCCATGCTGTGGAATCCAGACAGAGGGCCAACCTGCCCACTGTCCTCATTCACCATGTCCCTTTAAACCTCTGCAAATGACTCCCTAGCATTTCTGTCCAAACATTTGAACCTTCAACTTGTGTGTATACTGACTGAAATATACCCCCACTAAAACTAGAGTTCTTGGCATTCTTCATTCAAAGCTAAAGGGATTCCCTAACCTGCATAGTATGCAGCAGAAAACACTTTTAAGACCAAGAACACGCAGTTATTCAAGTGTTGAGGTTGATAATAAAATTTCCATTAGGCATAACTGTATAAGGATTCATTTATGACTCACAAACTCTCCTTTAAAAATCATAAATTTTGATGACAATGTCTACATAGAAAGGCAGGTGACTTTATAAAACTTTCAGTCCAAGATTGAGCAAAATGGGTCAGACTCAAATATGGCCTTCTTCTGAGCAGATTGCATAACTTGCTGCTGCACATTGTTCAGCACAGTGCTTCATCAGGGACAAAATGGAGGGAAGCACTCAACTGCCCTACATTTTTTCTGCTGATGAAAGGAATGACAGAATATTATTTGATGACAAAACCTTATCAAGATGTCTGGGAAGAATTTTTCCATCTTTAAGTGTCCCAAAACAAAATTTTCCTCATCTCAGGGGGTCTCTATTTTTGGGTCTGTCTGTTGTACAATGAAATACACATCGATGTCAGATTTAATTCATTTTTATCCTGACTGCTAAAATTCTTTGAAAAATCTAAATTTTAACCTATCCTAAATTTCAATGTGTCAGATTTCAACCAAAATGCATCAAATTCTAAATGAATTTTTCTAAATGTCTTTACGATGAAATATTTGGAATGTTGTGCCATTTCACTTTATTTTTAATAAGGTATATACCCAAAGTCACATGAGGTGACAGGACAGAAGTGTACTTTATCGAATCCCACGAATATTATTATTTTTATCCATAGTGAGATAAAAAAACAAAACCGCGCAACACTTCACCCGGACACGATACGTCGGAATTAGCTTTTCCAATTAAACTACAGTCTACGCGCTTCATATACTGATAAGAGCGGAATATGGCGAAACAGGGACGAAATTATTTGCAGTTTCTTTCTTTTCCTATCATTTCAAGAGTGTGGCATAGTATGAGGAGAAAGCAATACCATATATGGCTTCTTTGGTTCCCACGGATATATTTTATGCGCGATAATTTCCGCTTTCGACGTTGTATCTTTTTTTCCTTCTTTGACTATAGAAGTATAGAGACATCACATGACCGAACGTGTAATTTTTTTTCAATCTCTTTCCGAAATTCCTGCGCGTAAATCTAAGAATTCGCTCTCAATTAAAAAAAGGAATTCTAAAATCATAGAACCAGAGATCTTACAAAGTTCGATGATGATTTTTCACGCATCCAATCTTCGGAAATTCGAAAAGAGCTTTACTTTTTTCTCACTTTTATTGAAGACTGTGATTTCTCGAGGACATGTGCGGTTTAAGAAGTTATTTTAAGTGTGCACAATTGTTTTAATTCTTTCATTCTTGAACTCCAGACATCTGATGAAGACATCTGTATTATTTACAAAATGACTGTGAGTTTTTCAAAAAACTGTTTCAGATCCATTCGGAATTTTGGAATAGAAAAATACTCGAACATGTAATTGGTAATCATATTTTTCACCGGTTTTCGTTTCCAAAAGGGATCTTTAATTCGAGAACATGCCTGATCGAGTCATTTGTTGGTGTATTTATTATACTATGTTTTGAAATATTCTTGGAGAAATAATTTTTCTCCTTGAATATTTGGATTTTGTATGCATGCAGTTTGAAGAACTTGTTGTAAATCCTGGACTAAAAAAAATTAACTGAACTTGTTTGATAATATGGGCAACATTTGAAGTCTATAAAATCCTGAAGTACCTGTTGGAATAAAAACTTTAGTGAGCCAATAATTTGGCACCAGACCTCAAATTCTTCTATCCTAATCTATAAAAAAATTTTGCAGCTTATTCTGGAGCCTGTGAACCTAACCCAATTTTGGTTCCCAGGACCAGCAAGGACAGTTCTAAATAAAGTTATAATCCCTAATATTCTTTGTTCTTCATCTCTTTCTTTCCTGATTTCCAAATTATTTCTTTTTACTGAAGCACTTGCAGTTGAGTTACAAACCCAAGCAGATCTCTGTGAAGACTTAAGAGTAGCTTTCTGTGTTTTGTGCAAAAATGCTAACCAGTGAATCTTGCCAAAATTCTCATTTCCAAAATATACTATCTTAAAATTGGACAAATTTGTCCTGGCTGCAGTCTGGCTGCTTGACAGTGTTTTCTTCCATCTCAAAATTCCATAATCACTAATATCTTCTTGACAGACTTTGTCATAACTGATAGCATCTTTCCAGCAATCACGTTTTAATTCAAATCCTTTAATTCATATCATTTCATCCTCTTTGTGAGATTCTCTTTAGCACAAAAATCGTTTTCTCTTTCTCACAGTACCAATGTCTTCATCATTTACCAAATGAAAAAATCTTGCCAAATATATGCATGATATATTCGGAATTTATTTTGATTCATTTGAAATTTATAAAAAGGAGCGTATAGTACTCGACTACGAACGTTGAAACCATTTTTATTTTCAACGGGTTCTCACTTCCAGGAAGACTTTTTGATTTGAGAAAATTCCCGCGTCAGTGTCGGTGTCTTCCTTCATTTATTCAACCCCCCCCCCCCCATTTTCTATTCTTTCTTCAGTCTAAAGCGTGCCTTTTGGAGCGAAGCAGTTCGGAGTGGATTCTTTCCTTTATAGACGTCAGTTTATTTCCAAAAGCACTCATTTCTGTCCTGACTCTCCTCCAAGCGAATTTTTCGAGAAGGAAAACATGCAGTGTATAATATCGAGAAAAAAGGGAAAAATTGAATTCAAGTGATGAGTGAAACATATTTTTTTATGGAAATGAACCAGGAGAGTTTGAATATGTATAAAGGACAGGGAAGAGTTTGTGCTTGTTGTCGGTCACGTACTTTCTCGTGTTCGCGTCAGTGCGTCACTGGTGTCAGGTGTGTGTTGAGGCATATATTTATTATTGCAAAGCCATCATCCGAGGCATGATGTGCTATATAGCAACAAGTTACATTTTTTCACCAGATGTGGCGGGAATAAATGGAAATCGTGTGAGTTGCGTTGAAGATTCAGGAATGAAAAGAAATAGTGGCAAGTGGAAAACGTGGTTCAGTCTCGAAGTATATACTTTACTTCAGTAGTCGAAGACAGTGTTCGTATTTTTTTTTATGAACACTTCTTCTTCCTTGGGGGAACAGAATTCCTACAATTGAAGAATTATTTTTCTCCCAACAATTCCTGATGGCCTAATATTTTAAAATACGTATTTCTTCTCCCGAAAATTTTTTTTATTTTTACCCACGTTAATGTTTTTTTTTTGGACATTGAAATGCTGCGGGACGAAAAAAATATGGATTTGCACCCTTCAAAAATTAAAGAAAAAGGTGATGTTAGAACAAATATGATCTAAACATTAATATGAGTGGAATATAAAATGCCTTGAGAAGTGTTTCTCATTTGTATTGCATCAGTAGAATGAAGCTGAGGCCCCGAAGTGTATGTGCTAAAAATTCGCAACAAAAGCGTGACTCAATTTTTCTTAGTCCGTTTCACACAATACTGATGAAAAATTCTTTTTTTTTCGATTCGATCCAATTTCTGCCCTTATTCAATCTGCCGAAAAATGTGGGCTGCAAAGCTGTTATGAATAGTGGGAAAATGTGGCCGAAAGTGAAACTCATCGGTTTTTTCTCTGCTTTTCGCTTCGCGCAAACGTTTGACGAGTTACATTTGATAATGTATGAATCATTACATTTTCGTCAAGAGATGCGCAGATAATTTTATAGAACATTCAAAATCGTATTTTTTCGCTATTCTTTCGAAAACGTCATCCGTTTCATATCTAAAAAGTGATGGATTTAAATAAATTTGGCATGCAATACAATTTTTTACGCAAATGATTGTTCCAATGTCTATAATTCAGTTACCTTCAATATAAAATTCAGTGAGATAAGTCTGATGAAAGCAATGTAAGTTTGAGATCATCAAGTGATTGCCCATCGATGATTGCACTCTTTATTGATTTGGACTCTTGAATTTTTCTTTGATTCACGTTTTCCAATTTCAACGATTTCAAATCCGTATTTTTTGCGTTGTTGCTTTTCAATAATTTGCGCTTCATCTCGTTTTTTTCCCAATTTTCCAAGAATTATTGGAATTTATGTTCGGATAATGATGCGCTTAAATCAGTCCAATGTACAACATAAAACTTTGATCACCTTTGAGTTGTATAGACGACATTAAAATTGGTGCGTTTTTTTAATGCTGTTAGAATCTTCTTGAAGAAGTGACAGGTTTTATTCAATTTAGACACCTAAAATTATTAGAAAGCTGTTAAAATTTAATCAAAATATTTTGCCAAAAAATTGAAAACGTTCGCCGTCATCCTGATGATTCTAGGAACAAATCCAGGTGCTAACAGGTGCCCGCTAAAAAAAAAAAAAAATAACCATGCCTTCGGTGCTGATTACGGTGCTTGTTATTGTTGCGCAAATCGTGCTGTGCTTTGTTCCCGGGTCGATTGCGGAACCCGCCGAAGAGGTCGTCAGACCGACATCGACGTCGACGATGCCGGAAACGAGGCGACACGACGTGACTTCCGGGAATGAAGAGTTGCTTCCGGTCCGGAAGCCGGAGCCTGTCATCAAGGACAAGAGCCACGTGTCCGAGGCGCAAGTACACAAAAATATGACGGAGGATTTCGCCTGGTTGGACCAGCTGAAAAATTCGTCAAAGGGCTCAATTTTCAAGCCCACTAGTGGCTTCAGTCTGGTTTGTCATGGGTATGTTGAAAGAATGCACATAATTTTTTCTTCCATATATCTTTTTCCCACAACCGAATTCAGGGGTGAGAAATAAAAATTGCTGGGTAGAACTTTCTGGTAAAGAACCCTTGTAATGGTACCTGGTCATCCGGCCAGTTGGTCAATTCATGGTTGCGCACCCGCCGGTTGTCAAGCGCCCCTCAGTCCAACCACCAGCCAGGGCAGTCCTTGGCCTAGCCAATCCATAGTCCACCAAACCTCGGTCCGGTCACCCCATTGTTGGGGCACCCAAACAATTGGGTGACAAGAATCATGCTGATTTTTTCCATAATTTGGTGAGCAGAATGCTCTCCTCCCTGACTGTATCCTACCACAGATTATTTTTTTTTCCAAAGTTCATCTTATAAAAATGTTCACAAAAAGAAGAAACTCATCAAACCCAATCTAACCTAACCTAAGATATCCTAACATACCCTAACCCAACCTAACATCACCTAAACTAACATAACATAAACTGACTGAACCTAACCTAACATTGCTGAAATTTTGAGAAAAAAAATAATCTGTGGTTGGATACCATTCCGCTCATAAACTTCTGGAAAAAATCAGCATGATTCTTGTCACCCGATTGTTTGGGTCCCCTGACAATTGGGTGACTGGACCACAGTTTGGTGGACTGGGGATTGGCAAGGCCAAGGACTGCCCTGGCTGGCTTGCACCAACTGATGCTTGATGACCAGCAGGTGCGCAACTGTGAATTGACCAACAGGCGGCTGACCAGACAGGCCCATGGTACAGTTGGAGAGAATCCCATGGTACAAAAAATAGTCATGCCAGCAACAACAAAATTGATGTGTAGGGGAGATTGTTGTAGATCAAGCTAAGAGAGTCCATTGTATCTTCTTTTTTATTTTGGTAAAATTTGCCATTTAAATCTCTGTTCTGATGAGGGTATAAGGCGTAATATGCTCCACAGAGTGAGTCCTTAAATTTTATTCACTAATTTTTATCAAAATATTGTTTACACTATCAGGGGTAAACAAATTGCTGTCAATATAGTTTTCTGTAGAGAACCCCTATAACAGGTGGGAAGAATCATTTGGAAAAAAACACATTCATTATGACAAACAAGTTGTTATGTTGATGAGATTGTTGTGGAGAAAATCATTCGGTATATTTTTCGCTTTTTGGTCACATTGGCCATTTATATCTCTGTTCTAATGAGGATGTAGTGCAATATGCTTCACAAAATATTTCAAGATAATAATCAACCACAGATTTAGGCAATATGCGGTCCGCAGGTACCTCATATAGAGGTTCCTTCAAAACAGTTTAATGTTCTTCAGAAGACAAAGTAATGTAAAACTAAATGCATACTCAGTGGGACAAGCATATCAGAATAGAACCAGAATAGTCACTCCAAAAAATCTCAAACAAAGCATTGTACAAGTCGAAATCACACAAAAGACCTCAACAAAATCCTAACTTCCTTCCTCTTTGAAAGATGGCACTCTTGGCTTCCATTTTGGTAACCACAAAGCCCAAACTTTGACGATGCTTCTTCCCTCCTCCTGACTGCCCAGTTTGGCTCAAACATGTCTGAACTGTAGCAACCCCCAATATCACAAATCATGATAAAGTGCTACAATACAGTACCTTACTGTTTTGGCCATGCAGCAGCATCTAGCAGCCCAAAAACAAAGGAAAAGTTTTACAGATATGCTTTCGGATGAGGCTTTGATTTTGTTTGGGAAGTTTCAAAAATACCTTCTTGTATGAAACACATCATATTATCCTTCATGAAGAGACAATAAACCTGAAAGGATGATCATTATGCCAGCGGAATATTATGTATCCTAACCAAAATTTGTCTTGAATCTTTCAAATGTTGCAAATACTTTTTAATTGACCAGCGCGCAATAAAAAGGCAATAAATGTTCAACACAGTATAGACTCTCTAAAGTATATACAAAAGTTACAAAAATACACATGAAATGCATCTAAAATTGACCAAAGGAATTTCTAAAGTAAAGTACTTCATATACCCAAGTTTCATCATTTGTTCTGGTTTTACGATATCCGAGTCTGCTGCTCTCCGAGGCAAAGGTTAGCGAAGCAGAAATAATCCGTTCAAGAGAAAAAGCGTTAATGTCAAACTTTTCCTGTTTGACATACACCAGAGAATTTCATAATTTGAAAAAAACCTCAACTGCTTTTTTCTTTTTTTTGGGTACGTTTGGTACAGGCAGGTGTACTGCGATGAAATAGTACTGATGGCAGTTCATAATGAAGTTTTCTTCAACGACTCCAAATCCTTTGTTGATCTGAAGCTGAGATTCCACCCATTGGTTGTACTCGAAGCCCTTGAAAATGCTCTTCAGTCGACTGAACAAAATGTTACGGAAGCTGTGCATCAATGGCTTGAGGTCAACTTTGATGAGGCGGAAACGGCTTTTGAGGACTTTGAATTCTCTGATTGGAATGATCAGTAAGAACGATGATTATATCGGTGGAATCAAATTATCATGGTTTCTTTTACGTCCTCTTCTTGCTTGTGTTTGTTTGTTTTTTCAGTCCTGCTTTCCTGGACAAAATTATGGATCCTGAATTGAGGCAATGGGCTTTAGATTTGCACAATCTGTGGAACCTAAATCCCTTCTTTTAACCTTCACTTCAAATAGACTCTGGACTTTCTATAAGCGTTAATATGCACGGTTTAGGGTACTAACAAGGACCTCTGTCTAAGTTCCTTAAGATGATAACCACTCACTAACCACATTAGCTTTTTCATAATGACGATGAGGGGCTTCCAAGTTTAAACCAGGCAAGAAATTTATGAAACTAAAATCACATTTTTTACTTTAATCAAGAAAATTCAAATACAATAGCTCATTTCATTTTTAAGTAAATTGATGATTCTTCGACCTGTAACCTAATTTCTTACACCTTTTTTCCCGCATCATCGATATTTATAACGAAATTTTGATGAGAAAAATTTGTACAGCTAGTAGAATTGTGTCCCCACATGAAGAGATAATCATTTGAAAAAATCTTTAAGAGAAAAGTATCCAAAAAAACGTGCAAACTCTCGAAAAAAGTATCTGAAGAAGAAATTGCAAACATTGGAAAATTTCACTAAAATACAGCACATTTAAGAACAAATATACAATGATTTTAGCAATTATTTGCAAATTTGAACCTGTAAAAATTGTGTCATTAATGGTTATGATTGTGTATAACATTGCAAAATCCCTGGCATCATAAAAGTTAAAATGATGCTTTGAAAATAATTTTCAAATGAATAGAAAAATCAGAATTAATGTTTCCCATGTGTAAAATTTCAAGTTTTTCTGTACAGTATTAGAAAATGCTTTTCTTGCATTCCAAATCTTGTTTCAACTTTTGGAGGGAAGCAGTGTGTTGGGTTCAGAGGAAGTTTATGTTTCTGTGTGAAGAAAAATGAAAGGAAATTGGGAAATGAGATCTTGAATTGTAGATATAACTCATATAAAGGGCCACTGCATTTTTTTCACATAATTTTTCTGTACATGGTACATTTCTGGGGGGAGGGGAGAGGGGAGAAGGAGTACATTAGTTTGAATTAGTGCCCACAGCAGGTGAGGATATGACAATACTTCAAGAAGAGTAATGTACAGTGGCCCCCCGCCTAACAGACCACCCGTGTAAGGGATTTTTGCCATAATTGAAATTTTTAATTTTTTATGTAATTGAATTCATGTAAAGGACTTTTTGTCTAACAGACTTGTCCCTTGCATGAATCAAGTCCGTTAGACGGGGGTTGACTGTATTACTATTGAAGCCAATTCTAGGAAGTTTCAATTTGCATTCCAGGTGTCTGGGTTAAAAGACCTGGTATAATTAACCTACAATATTGAAGTAACAAAAGAATTCATTTGTATAGTGTATTGGCATTATTAAACTGTGTGCAGAATATATTTCATGTTGAACAGTCCTTAACTGTTCATGGCAGGGACTCCTACTGGACCTTCCTGGGACTCACACATAGTGGCCTATTGTCAACTGTCAGAGGAATGTTGGAGAACTTTGTGGCCATGGTGAAAGAATATGGCTTCATTCCCAACGGGGGTCGAGTCTACTATGAAAACCGATCCCAGCCTCCAATGTTCATTCCTATGATCAAAAACTACTTAGACCAGGTGGCAACTTCCAATTCAACACAGGACTCGGATACATTTGAGCGTGTGACTCCACTTGACCTTGATTTTCTGCAGTGAGTTAATTTAAAAATTTGAATGGAAACACATGAAACATGACTTTATATGCATGTAATGTTATTTTTGTGCTGCAGGGAATACATTGACATCATTGAACAAGAAATGGTATTTTGGCTGACAGAGAGATCAGTTACTTTTCAGCACAATGGGGAGAGCATGATGCTGTTCCATTACGCGACCAACACAACAGGTCCCAGACCAGAATCTTTTGTGAAGGACGTTGAATTAGTTCTCCAAGTTGAAGGAGACCTGGCCAAAGAGGCGTTGTACAATAATTTGCACAGTGCATGTGAAAGTGGTTGGGATTTCTCATCAAGATGGTTCAAACCAACTGCTGGAAACACAGTTGGTGAGTGTGAAAATGGTCTTCCATCCTTATCAAATTTTTGAAATATTTTTTGGTAATGCACAGGAACTTTGATTAATACAAAAACCAGAGACATTCTGCCAGTGGACCTAAATGCACTCATTTGCTACAATGCCAGGGTGCTTGCAGACTTCTATGCTATGGTTACAGACAATCCTGAGAGTCCTATTGTGGAACATTACAGGAATATCAGCATGGAAATTGCTGATGCCATGAAGAAGGTCATGTATGATGAAGAGTCAGGGTCATTTTATGACTATGATCATGAACTGAATGTGAGTTGGGCAAGGTTTTATTTGTCATATTTGTAATCAGGATGATCCTCAGCACTTCCTGTTGCAGAAAAGAAACTTTTGAATGTTCCTCATGAGTTCATTGCCAAAAATATAGTACAATTGATGTTCATCCATCAAAATTTGGTAAAGTTAGGACTCCTCTTTTGGCAGTCCAAGAACGTTTCCTTCTCAGTGTGGTTCTTTGTCAGTTTTTTTTATTAATTAGTCTATTTAACCTAAGTTCAGTTGAAATACGTTTTCAGTTACTCACTCACCATAAAATCCCCCCATGAGGCAATGAAGTTTTTAACTAAAATCAATTCCCTGTGTCATCTAGGGTAATCATGTTATTTATCCTCGAATCACCAGGGATGTCATGATAACTCACAAGCATTGAAGTATAGGCTTGGTGATTTTTGCCAGAACTGATATTGGCAAATGTTGTTATACTGTATTGGAAAAGGAGTTGCCACTGGATGAGGCCAGTTGTTGAGAATCACATACAAATTGGGCACATAAGAAAGGTTTGAATAAATCATCAAAAGCCGTCATTTTTGGAATTGTGCAAGAATACTTTCAAGCTGTGATATATACTATTACTCTACGTACATCATTAGATTGGCACGCCATGTTTGTTTTTTCAAAGGAAAGGCTTTTAAAAGTCCTTTCATAATTGAGAGAATGGGTCATGTGGGAAATTATTCAGAAATGACATTTTGAGCTTCAAGAATTTTCAATATTCCTTCTGCATTGATAATATGCCAGATAATAACATGAAAAATTCAATTCATGGGAAAATATGATAAACTTTCATTGTAATCCAATTTCAGCTATGTATCTTATTCAGAAGTTTGCAAGAATATTGTGTTCCATTGCCGAATTCTCACATTAGAGTTTTATTTCTCCAGGTTCGAAGGAAAAACTTCTATCCATCAAATGCCTGGCCCTTCTGGCTTGATTGCTTGGGGCGGGATAGCAATAAGACAGAAATGGGACTGAGGTACCTGGAGTACCTGAAGAATGAAACAGGGCTTTCATCACCTCTGGATTTTCCTGGTGGAGTTCCTACATCCCTGGTGGAAACTGGAGAACAGTGGGACTTCCCAAATGCATGGGCTCCATTGGTGCACTCCCTGATTATCTCATTGGACTCTATTGATCACCCCAGCACCAAACAAGAGGCTTATAATGTGGCTGAAAAATGGATTCATACAAACTATGTGGCTTACAAGACCCACAATGCCATGTTTGAGAAGGTGAATTGCATATTAACACATGTTTTCCCAAACTATTGGCAATTTCCAAGTAGGAACATTTAGGCAACAGAAGAAAGTGACTTGCTCAGCTTTTTTTTTTTGCTTCACACAATTTTGACGCGGAAGACACTTCACAAGAGGGAATATTCTACAAGAGATTGAAAGTGGCTTCAATTTTGCAGTCATTGAAGCAACTGCAAATTGTTGGTACAGGAGAGAGATATTTAAATTTATGAACTGACTAGACTACCTCAGAAAGTTGTGAGATTACAATGCGTTATGGTTTTTACAAGGCAGAGAAAATCTCTTTCCATCAGGAGAAAGATGAATCCTTCTGGCCCCATTCAAGTTAGTGGAGAAAATGAACACAAACTTTGTTGCATGAAATCCTCTGAATCTTCCTGTATGAGAAAAATTTCACATGGAAAGAATAATTTACTGTATATGCTAATTTCTAAATGGCTTGGTATCAAATTGACACACAATTCAAGCCAGGGCTGATTTGAGATGGGGAAAATTCAAGATAGGGCAGATTTGAGACAGGGCCAATTTAAGAAGGCCCTATTTGCTTGTCTTTACATGTTTTGAGACAGGGAAAGTGTGAGATATAAACATTTTTATAATATCTTCAGTGTTTTTCTCCCTAATATCTTATTTTGAAAATGTGAATAAAAGCAACACAATTGCATGCGCATCAGCAGAGTTTCTTTGGAACTGTCTCAAAATTTCCTTGTCTCAAAATTTCCCTGTCTCAAATTGTCCCTGTCTCAAATTGTCCCTGTCTCAAATTGTCCCTGTCTCAAATTGTCCCTGTTTCAAATTGTCCCTGTGTCAAATTGTCCCTGTCTCAAATTGTCTGTGTCTCAAATTGTCTGTGTCTCAAATTGTCCCTGTCTTAAATTGTCCCTGTCTCAACTTGTCCCTGTCTCAAATTGTCCCTGTCTCAAATTGTCCCTGTCACAAATGGTTCCTGTATCAAATGGTCCCTGTAATGAATTGTCCCTGTCTCAATTTTTCTACAGCTCAAATTGGCCCTGTCTCAAATTGTTCCCATCTGAAGTTGGCTGTGTCTCAAATTTTACAGTCTTGAATTCTTAGTCCTGATTTGTCCATACTCCATCTGTCATAGTAAACTTCTCACTTTTATTTTTCAGTATAATGTCACCGAACTGGGAGCAATAGGAGCTGGAGGTGAATATGGAGTGCAGAAGGGCTTTGGTTGGTCCAATGGAGCAGTCCTGGACTTACTGGTCAAATATGGGGACCGCCTTCAAACCCCTGACCTAAAATCTGCATCTTCAGCTTTTTTCCTAAACCCTGCAGCAGCTTTTTTCAGCATTATAACATATTGGGTGCTTCAATACGCATGAGTATTTCTCAGCAGAATTTGTGAGTTCCCATCAATTTTCTACATGGATGAAAACCAATGTTGAAAAAGCATTTTTATCATTTTTTTATTTGCTGTGATAAAAATTGTTCCTGAACCATGTTTGGCTGAAGCTTTGCTTTCTGTTTTGGATGGTAATCCTCAACTTCTTCATTTGAATATTTAAAATCATGGCATTTTGATCAGGGTTGTATATTTGAATGCGGTTTGGCACTCCAGCAAATATCAAAGAACTTGCATGTGCTCAAGGTGCGTTGTGGAATGTTATAAAGGCAATTGTTAGAAGACATTGATCACAGTTAGCTGTGCTTTCACATTGCAAGTATAGTAATTTACAAAATATTGTCATATGCATATTTTCTTTCTGAGGAATTGATGTTTTCAGCACTGACGAATGAAGACACAATAGTCAATATGAATGCTTCAATTTTATTCTTGCATACTTGTTCAAGTGATGGTGAATATTGATGGCGTCAGGGTTCATTGGGAAATGGCTCACAGGACTTTCTTTGGTTCCCTTGAATGATATAATCACATGTAAAACAGATATTGCGGTTCCATGTCTCTCTCCATTTGAGAAAATGAATAGAATGTGAGGTCCTGTGAATAGATAGAATTAAAAAAAATTTCATAGTTGATCCTATTGATAGTTTTGTATTACCGACCTGTTTCTTTTCCACTTGGACCTTTTCAACCTGCTCTTTGTGAGTTTTCTCAAGCTTTGTCTTTTCCTTGTCTTGCTGAATGGCTGCAGTTTTGCGTTCTTCAATGAATTTCTTGGTGTTATTGGCTGTCCTTTCTTTCATCAATCTGTCCTTTTCAGCTTTATTCTTCATGCCCTTGTCATTCGCCACTTCCTTGGCTGTTTCTACAGAAACTTTGGCTTGACGTGCTCTCATTTCTTTGTTATCTCTAAAGCGCAAATCCTTCATTAGTTGTGATCCTGGAGTCCCAAATTTCATTTGATACAGGTCAGACCATCACAAAAATATTAAACTATTAAAATTTAAAATTGGGATGCTCCCGTTTGGAAATGAGGGTATACACATTACGAAACAGTTTCACATGGATACATTTGCTGAACAAAATTTTTAAAATTTCAGTTATTTTTCTGCTCAAGCTATAAAATTTAATCAAAATCAGGCTGAAAAAAAGGATTATGTCCTCCAGCCCCGAAAATGGGTGCATTTAAGAAAGTTAGAACTTTGATCTGGTGATGGTAATGTTTTTTTTCATTGCAATTTGTTAGTACAGTACTGATTTTACTGGCTGAAGTAAACAAAGGGTTCATGGACTGTCAAGTATTTTTTCTGTGTCAGAAAAAGAGTGGAAAGTTTGTATACTAAAGTTTGACCAATAAAATCACGTTTTGAATCAAATTGTTTGCAGAAATAAAATCATCCTGAATCGAATTTGTTTTCATTCAAGGATTCAATATTCTCCTTATGTATATTTNAATTTTTGTGATGAATATTCTAAAGGGCTTTCTGTTAAGCGAAATTTTCCAAGTTGAGTGCCAAGAAAACTTGAAGTATTGGATTAAGTTTAACTAACTTGTCATGCTTGACCTCAAGTTGCTTCATTTGCCCAATTTGCGCAATTTCGAAGAGCTTGATAAGGGCCTCTTCTTGTTGCTTGACATGAGCTTGCTTCAGGCTGCTTTCCTCATTCTGGTGAGATTCGCACATTTCAGTCCAACGTTCTATATGAGACTTGATTAGCTCACAGAATGACTCATCTTCATGTGCCTTCTCTTTGCTGATGGTAAGAGTGGACATATTTTTGCATCATGACAAAGCACACAAATGTATGTTGTGGAAAAGACTTACTTTTTGCAACTCTTGGCCATTTTTTCATAGGCAGCATTTTGTGTTTTTTGCAATGCTGCTCTCTCTTTTGTCTGGCGTTTTTGCATGGCCTCCAATTCTTTGGTTTGCTTCTTTATTAGCTTAGCGTAGGTCTTGTCTTCCGCAAATGTAAGAGCTGTTAGTTGCTCAAAAGTCATTTCATCTATAAGGAAAAAGTTTAGAAGAATGTAGATTTTCACACAAATTACAGGTAAGGATTTGTCAATTCTTTTAAACAGTTGGATTATGAGAAAAAAAAGTTGGAAACTATTTTCAGCAAACCTGGTTTTGATTGTTGCCCAGTTACTTTCCCTCCTTCACTGCTTGACTGGCCCAATTTCAAGTCAGCAGTAGAAATGTCAGACTCTTCAATGCCCATGGCCTTCATCTGCTGTGTCCTCTTCTCCTGGGCTGACAAAAATGCCCTGGGGTCACTCAGGGCATCCATGAAATCTGAAGCAGAAATCAGATGATGTTCATTCATTTTTTTTTGGGAAAAATAAAATTGTTGAAAGATACCTCCAAGGCCCTCAGGGATGTAAATCTTGAGATCAATGTTGCAGAAGAGCATAGGAAGTGATAATGGACAGTTGGATTCTGTTCTGAGTGGAATATGTCTGTAACCTGCTTGAAGTCCATCCAAAGGCAAGATTCTTTGGCCAAGAAGTTTGCCATTTTCATCATAAACTCCGAATCTTAGAACTGCCAAATCTGGCAGAACAACCTTTTCAAGAATGTCGCATTCAATATCAAGCTCAAGAAGAAACTGAATCATTGGATATAATGACATTCACCTTCCTGAATACAAAAGGGTCTTCATTGTAAACAGGGTTCAGCCCATTTCCAGGGACAAGCCTGGTTCTGAACTCTTTCCTAATGGTGTCTGTGGGCAGTCCATACATGTCGACTTCCACATAAGTTGCTACTTTTTTGTCTGACAAGAATTGACCTGCAATGACCTGAAAAACAGGATATACAGTCAACTTCCACACAATGGTTCTCCCGCAAAACAGATTCTTGCTCAACAGACTGTCTCTGGAGGGGGTTTTCCCTTCTGCACAAGAGACTAAATCTGCATAACACACTTATGTTTGTATAAGTAATGGTAAAAAGTACAAATTTCAAATTTTTAACAATTGAATTTTTATAACAGACCTTTCACACAACAGACTACTCTGTCACAAAAATTAAGTCCATTGTGTGGGGGTTGACTATTCATTATACAAATGTAATTCAAGAAATGCATCATTCAAGTGATTACCTGAACAGAACACCTGGCTGCAATCACACCATCTACTGGAGTTTCAGCAAACGGATCGAAAGTCCTGTCAGGCCTCCTCATGAAATCAGGTTTCAGCAAGTAGCCACAGTTTCCATTGTATTCAAATTTTCCTTGGTTCAGCTGCATTGGTAGATCACTGGTTTGGAAATTCAGTGACACCATTTGACAACCAGCATTCCAGAAGATCTGGCATAGGACAAACATTGGTTCATCATTTTCTTTTTCACACTCAATTATCAAGCATTATCATTATCAAGCATAAGAATGTTTTTGTGGAAAATGAAGGCTTAGAAATTTTGTGCATATGGTGAGTGTGGATAAAAAAATTTCAAAGACATATTTCATGAAGAAAGTGCTAAAATTGATAGGTGAAAAAGTGAACACTGAATTCTTTTCAGAATAAATCTTGTAAAAATGTATCTTCAGCATAACTCATCCAAATTCAGAAATTTGTGAAATTGTTTTTTGAAAGTATTCACTTTGTTGGCCAGCAGAAATTCATGTGGTTTGGTGTCTTCTGAAGGGTACATTTCGGGGGAGGGGGGGGGGAATTCAAGTTGAAAACAAATGTGCATGCCTTACTTGAGATCACCAGTTACTAAGGGAAAACAATATTAGCATCAATATATTATTACCTGGGGAAGGTAATTGGAAGAATCAGCCCTGGTTCCTTTTGGGTAGATTCTGCTGAATTGCCTTTTGTTGTAATTGACAAATTCAATTGCTTGGGATTTCAGGTACCCAAGACCAGCAGACTCAGCAAAGGAAGACATTTTGTAATGGATGTCATTTTCTGGAGAGAAAAATTATTTTCACTTTTGATTTCCTGGTGAGAAAACTCACAATGATTACTTTCTGCAACATCAAATCCCTGGAATTTGCTAGCCTGGCAATAACTGATCATTGTGGATAGATATGGGTGACAAACTGCAGATGAACCAGAGTAATTGGCTCCAGGGACTGGATCTGCTTTGCCCGAAGCTTCTGCTCCAGCATCCTGCATTAAAAAAATCAGCACATCATGACAATGTCGAAAACAATCCATCTATATTCAAAAATAGAGTAAACCTTGTCAGATGGTGCATTGACATCACCAGCATCTTCTTTAACTTCATCAACTTTCAGTTGACCAGCCTGCCAAAGTTCCAGCTCCTGCTTCTCAACCTCAGGATTGAGTCTCTTGTTCTTGATCAGGATTTTTCTTTTCAGTTGATTTGGTGAAGGTAATGGAACTCCTTTTTCAAGCTGCATTCAGTGGAAGTGTTGGATTTTTGAAAATTTGAACATTTCCCACCAGAAAATTTGAAACTCACAGGGTTACTAGGAAGTGGTTGCTTCAGCAGATGGTCCCCAAAATATTCCTCACAATATTTTGCAAGTTTGTACTGCTGATTCAGGCAGCAGTGGTTTTCAAAAGAGAGAATGACTGGGTAGTCTGATTCCACAAATGCAGTTTCTGCAATGGCTTGGATGCAATCCTGCAAATAATATTATGAATGCGTCAATTCAAATATAAATTATCAATGTAGTTTATTGATGGAATTGAGCTGCTAAAAACTCTCTGTTGTGGACTGAGGAGTGCTTCAGGAAAATAATTAAACCACCTGCATCCCAAAAGCCTGAGCTTCGATGGTCTCAGGGCCTTGCAGTACCAATAAAAAACTTGCCTCCAAAAGCCTTCGAAACTTGTACAAGGATGTTGCACACAGTCTTTCATTTAATCCTTCTTACCCTATCAAAAAACAGCAAAGAATCTCAACCTCAATCAAGAACAAGTTCAACCCAACCCTCTCTTGATTATGCATGAAAGCCTCAACAATTTAAAGTCAATAGTGTATCCTCGTTCAGAATCCAATTCCCATTTTTTGCTTCCAGTAATTTTTGAACCAATTCTCTGAGAAATTGTAAGAATTATTGAGTGAGTGTACTTTTCTTTGAGAAGGTGCTGGGTTTATGATTCTTTTGGGACACAAATAGATATAAATTTCTTAGAGATTATGTGTAGAGATGCTCCCAGTCAGTCCCAGGCTGATGGCTTTGGTGTTTTCTTCATAAATTATCTTTGTTTGAAGAAATCTCTAAAAAATCTGAATCACATCATGATTCCCTTTGAATGATTTTAAAGAAAATTTCAGGATTCGATTAATGGATAGATTTTCATCTTACATGTTTTATTTTCTGTGATTTTATTTTCCAATTGTCTGTGGAGTATCAAACCTTGAACAAAACTTCAGTGCACATAGCTTTGCCATGAGTAACAATTGGCTCCTCATCTTGTCCTTTGCCATCCCAGGCATCCAACTCAACACACCTGAAATAAAATCGAAGAAAAAATATTTATGCTTTAGTAAATAATTATATGTGAAATAATTTTCAAGTAAAGTGGGTACCCATTTATCAAGAGCCTTTTTCAACCAAAACTATAGCATACAACAATTTATTATAGTAATTGAGAAGGGGTCTTGCATATCAACATTTTTCGACACATCAACTATTTTTAAAGAGAAATTTGTGATTCTCACAAAGTTCAGTTCACAGATCTAAATTTTCTCAAACCGAAGAAAGTTTCGTAGCAAAGAAAATGCATGCAGTTATTTGAAATTTGTGTCTCCGGTGGAAAATACGATATTTTCCAAAAGTTTAAAGCTCAGAAATGTCCGGATTACTTCATTTCTTTTTACGTAAAATTCCATATTCATGACTTGACAGGATGCATTTTATCGAGAATATGGAACCATAGACTTAAAGAATGCAATTTGCATGAATTGAAAAGGGGGATTACATTCACTAAACAACATTCCTCGAAAAAAATGCATTATACACTCAGTAAACTTTCAGGTTGCATTACCAAATTTTCTGAAATCGTAGAAAAATTCGAAAAAATGAAAATTTAAATTTAAAATTTACCAGGCTTCCTCATCCCAAAAACCTGCTGATCTCCAGAAGTTTAGAGGTTGACAATGTCGGAATTAATTCCGTTTCTTAAATTAAATTCCATGCTATTATTGACTTGCATGATTGAAATAATAAGTTTTAGACAGTTTTGCGCGTGACTGGAACAGCAGATAAAATCATATATCGTCAATTGAAATTCATTTGAAGTTACACCCGAATCAAAAAGATTTACATTAAACAAAATTGTGGAAAGGATTAAGTTGGGTTTCGCCGGGATCCGCTACATAATGAGGTTTATTATTACTGTATTTTTTTTACCTGCATCCAGATAAGAGAACTTGGCGGTAAATTTCAGTCGAAGACTTGGCTCCAAATTGTCTCCCAATCAGGTAAGTGTTGTGAGACGAATTGATGTAATAATGAGACATGGGCTGATCCATGTCCATGTAAATGTCAAGTTTGTCAAGAAAAACTGGAGCGTTTTCGTCCGACATCAAGTACTTGATCAATCCAGCTTTGCTCAGTTCATCTTTCTCAAAAAATAAAAACAAATAAAATATTCATGAATTGACGTTGACACATTCTTTAATGTATATATACACGAGATCGCAAACCTTTGGCCTTCAGTTCCTCTTCTTCTTCATAATCTGCAATGATTTCTCTGGCTCTTTTTTCGCTGTACAACGGATACAAAATTTCGTTCAACCTCGGATCTCGTTGCTTCTCATTCATGAATTCGACGAACTGGGCCAAGGTGATGGTTTCTTTTCCGTCGGATCTATATGGAAAGAAATGTTAGAGCATCAAAGCAAACGATAGAAATATTTCAACAAATTTATTTCACATAGATCTGAAGAGTTCTTCGATGTCATTTCGAGGGCAAATGGTCCCGTAGATTTTGTGGAACTTTTCGAATGTAAAGTCGTCTGGCGGGATTCCATCGTTCTGTATTTTTGAGAAACACAATTGAATATATATTCGTGAAGTATTTTTCTTTTGTTTTTATGATGATGCTTGATGCTGAAACTCACTTTATCCGAAGGTAATCCGAGGTCTGACAATGTTTGATACACCAACTTCTCCGTTTTTCCCGACGCAAACGTTTTCGACACTGCTCTGACTGGGATTTTTCCATCCGGGTCGCAGGACATCCGAAGTCTCATCCAACTTCATAAATTGATACTTTTTTAATTATTTACCTGTGCAATCTTTTTCCGGAATTTTACGAATAGTATAGAGAGTTTTACTGTTTTTTCAGGGCAAGAAGTGGACAGACGTGGCTGACTTTGGAGTTGTGCGCCAGAGTCAGGAGCTGTTCCTTCCAAAACTGCTTATATGGAATGTGGGAAATGATCTGAAATATTTTCTGAAATAATTTTAAGAATTTTTTCGACTGACTTTGGCTTCTTCCGCTGATTTCGTGACGAAATTTACAGCACTCAGATTGACGAAATCAAAGCCGTAAGTCAGGGACACGTTCTTGGATTCGTAGGCCTCATTTCTGGACGAAAGCTGGTTTGCAAGTCTGGAATCCTTTGAAATAAAAATATATGTATAGTGAGACCCCGAGATGCGGACGTAATTGGCGCATAAGAGTGTCCCTGAGTTGAAATATCCCCAATTCAAGTCTCATTTTCCCTTAGACTTACATTATATAATTTTAATTTAAGTTTTATGGACAAAATACTCAAAATAATTCCATGAAAATAAAAATTGTCTCCCAAATTGAAACTGAATCAATCAATATATTTCAACACAATATGGACATTTGGGGAATTGAATACTGATACCTCTGTACAGTACATAGAAATGTNTTCTCCCAATTGAAACTGATTCAATCAATATATTTCAACACAATATGGACATTTGGGGAATTGAATACTGTTACCTCTGTACAGAACACATAAATGCTGGCATTCTCTCTAAAAATAACAATCAAGTGAAAAAGAGAGAAGAAAGTCCCTCTCTGCTGCAGGAGGTAATTTTTTTAAATTAGCAGAATGGATTGTAAATTGGTGAGAGAAATGTCAAAGAACTTTTCTTACAACAATTTTAGGGTTGGAAATATCTCTTTCTTTTAATTTGGCCTGAAAATTATTTGCATTTCTATCACAAAATGTCCCTGTGTTGAGTCAGGGTCCACATATCAGGCCTTTTTTATTATTTTTCATGGGAAAATAAGTGTCCATACGTCAAATTGTCCGCATGTCGAGGTGTCTGAATGTGGGGGGTCTCACTATATTTAAAAATAATAATGGAGAGGGAAAACATTCTGACGAATGAATTACCTTTGCTGGGATGCCGATTTTAACATCGCTCACGTGAGTAAGTTCCACTGATTGTCCTTCCTTGAATGCAAAAATTTATAAAAAAAAGAGAATACAGTATTGAAATTTGCGTTTCAAAAATAATTTCGGAATTTGTGAATAACTCACCTTTCCTTCGGATTTCCAGAAGACGAAAAACCCATATTCGTCCACTTTGACTGTGCAATCCAGTTCAATATCGGGTTGTGCATCTTTTTCCTATACAATATAGTTCGTATCATAGAATAAACTAATATAAAAAGTCAAGAGAAACATTCCACAAATTTATGAATCCCTCACTTCAGCCCAGCGATCGAAAACGGCTCCATTTTGCAGAGCTTCCGGAACCGGAAGCTTCCAATTAAACTCGTATTTCTTGGTCATTCTGACTCAACCTTTTTTTTGCCTTGTGGTGAAAGAGATTTTTTCACACGAAAATCATGACCTGGTTGGAACTGGCATCTGACCCAGGTTTTCTGCTGCCATTTGACGTTTGTTTGGCTTCCATCGATTTTCTTGTGCTGTAGTGGGAAAACATGCTGAAGCCCTAAAAATGAAAATAAGCTTTTTGTACGTTTGGAAAATTATCGTTGAATGATTCTCTCCAAAAAGGTAAACAAAGTTTTTATTTAATTAAATATATCTGAGAATGTATTTTTTCAGAATGCCGTTTGCCAATTTCACATGGTTTCTCAATGTTTGAGCCGCGGAATGAAAATTCGAATGCCTTTATTCTCATCTCAAATTTTTTCTTTTGTTTCGGAAAGAAGATTCATTTTGTGCTGAAGCGACGATGTTTTGCACTCTGTTGATGATGTCTTCTTCATCTTCAGCTCTTTTTCGATCTTGGTCGTCTTGAAAGTCGAAAACAACGGCGTTGTGTGGTTGGAAAGCGTTGCCATCGTCTTCATAAATCACCTGGGAATCCGAAATGTAGTCCACCGAAAGCCCTCCAATATTCATGTGCTCGATGGGTTTTTTCGCTGTAAAAGATCGGAAAACGTTCGTCATATTCTTAGATTAAATTCAGTCTTTTGTTCGCTTTTTTTCTTCAAAATTTTATATTCACTTGTAACAGTTGAGGTTTCCTGCACAAGGTCTTCAGTCTCTATGATCACAAATGGCAGCTCTGTGTTGGCCTCAGTTGAATTCGGGCGGAAATTTTCCGGAATCGTGGCAATGTCGTTTATCAACTGTATGAGCTCCGAAACAGAAGCTAAAAACATGCTCATTGTGTTGAAAAGAGTTGCAACGTTTCCAGCGACATCTGGTTCATCATCTTGCCTCGCTTCCTGTAAAAAAAAAACATAGCATGAAAAATAGATGACGCCGTTTTCGGCTTCGTTGAAAAGGAAATTTAAAAAAATTCAACGCACCTGGAATGAAAATGTACGTATAATATGCTATTTAACATTTTTTTGAAATTTTAGAGCTGTAGAGCAAAAACTCCGTTCATTATTTAGATATGTCTGCAATTGGGTGTAAAATTGCAAGTACTAATGCTGATTTTATACTGAAGGTGTCGACTGATTCATGGTCTTCCAGAGTGTGAGGTCCTCTAACCTTTGATCTGTCAGTATCATTTGAATTTGAACTGAAAGACACTGCAAAATCATCACAGCAACCCTATTTTGACATGATCAAAATCTCTGTGCTGAACAAAAAATGCTTTGATGAAAAAGTTTAAACACTATATGCTTAAATTGCAGGAATTCTGAGAGCAAACTATACTCTTGTAACATCAAAGCCATTAAAACCTGAAAACTAGTTATTGAAAAAATCTTTGATGTGAAGAACATTTCAAAAATTGATGTAAATTGCAGGGATGCTGAAAAAATGCTTGCCATATTCTTTCAATCAGACTTGTTGCATCATTCAGGAGTACAGGTGGTACCTTGAAATTTGACCATAATCCATTGCTGGACAAGGGACAGGTTAGAAAGCATTCAAATTGCAAGACAACATCAAATGGAATGTTTTCTACATGTCACTTGACATTTCATGTCTTTCCACAGGTCAAATTGCCCAGCAGAGGTCTGATTCAGATGAGTCAACCTCAAAGCAAAATTGACTGTTGAATTGTGTTATGATTGAATTGTATGACATTGAATTGCAAGGTACCACCTGTGTAATCTGTTTGATTTGATGTGCTGTGTCAAATGTTTGTTGGATTTGGAAGGACTTCAACTATGCTAAAATAAATCTGGTCTCTATTTCTTGGTTCACTGTTATATCCTGATTTGAAACAGCCATTCACAGTATGAGTATGTACACTGTCCATTTCATGTCAAAAGAACACCAAAAACTTGAGACTTCTCAAACAAAATTCAAGGCAAGAAAGCCTCAACAACAGGATAAAGCATGCTGAGCAGTATGTCAGCATTATTTCCTGTGTTTTCACTTGAGACACCAGCAGTTGTCCTTGTTCCTGTTGCCCCCAGGGGTCTTTCTTCATCACTCAGTGACCAGTTGTTGACCAGTGCTACCAATCCAGTGGCCACCCTGGCCCAGTTGGCAACACTACTCTGTGACTCCTGTGCTTCCTGAGTGCTTTCCTGCAACTCAGTTTGTCTCACTGTGCCAATGACCGTTGGGTATTCATCAATATAGTCCTGATTAAATCGCTGGAGAGGATTTGGAGCATAGTTGATTGTGTCTGGGGCACGTCTGGCAAAAAATGGAGCCAGGACAAGCAGCTGGAGGAACTGGAACAGAGGCTGGAGCAGGTTTTCAGTGAGAGGGTTCCAAATTCGCTCCAGGAAAGCATAGATGTCTTCCATGACAAATGTGCCCTGGGGGCCTTCATTCCTGATTCCCATGACGTTGTAAATAGTTCTTCCCTGGATTATTTTTGAGTTTGTCAACAAAATTTCACTGACATTTCAATCTGACAAACTTTCACCTCTGAATTCAAATTACTCTTTTTATTTAGTTATTTCTATCATTGAAGAACCAAATGAATCTGGAGCTTAGATCAGGGTTTTCCTGGATCAGCTTCCTGTTTTCATTTTTGTTTGAATACATTTTATATAGCTTCTTCTATAAAATGTGATTTCTGAAAATGATTCACAAAAAAATGAGTATTCATCTGCCTGGTGTACTTTCAAAATTTAGAGCACAATTTGATTGAAATTTGAAGTCATATTCTTACCTGTGGGTTTTGAATACTGTTTTATGGTTTGTTGACCTCTGTTTTATAGTCAACCATATGAGAGAAAAAAAAGGCCTCTTCACAAAATGGAGTTTCCCTGGATGTTTTATTTGTCCTGTATCTGTGTGACTTTCATTTGCATGCTTCTATATACAGGGCAGTAAGTGACATTTGAAAGTGATTTTTTGGAATTGAAGCATTTGCTCTCCTGAATTTTTTTTTACAAGTTCTACTACTATACTTCTGTAAAACAAGCATACATTCATGCATTTCTCTCTCAATTTTATAAACTAATTGCACTGAAAGCTCCTCTATATTTTAGTCAATTATACCAGCATTTAATAATCAGGATCTAGGGGTATTTTTTACAATAATTGAGTCTTGGAAAACAATTTAGAGAAATTGAAGTTCTAACCTTGTCGTTCACAGTTTGGTCGAGCCTGTTCTCCTCAATATTAACCTTCAACGCTTCTGGAATTTCCTTCACATTCGATTCTTGTCTTGATTCAATGCTGTTCATAAATTTTAGAAATTTGAGATGTCATTTTTCTTGTACATAATCTTTGTCTCTCGCACCTGGATTCTTCATAGATTCGATGAGGGAAGAATTGGTTTTCCAAACTTCCAATGCTGTCGATTTTTATTTCTTGAGCTCCTTCAATTTTTGGTCCAATAACTGAAGCTCCTTTGCATTCCAAGGAAACTGTCACCAGAAGGAAAATCAGTCCAGTCGACTGTAACACAAATGAACATAGAATTTTGAGAAATAAAATTAGAGACGTGGTTTTTTTCAAATGAATTTTAAAATGGTTTCTCAACAAAATTCAAAAACTTGTTTGAATTTGAAAATGGTTCTTTCGATAAAGTTCAAAATGGTTTTTTTTTCAATACATTTTCAACTTTTACACTGAAATTGGAAATTGCTTGCCCGAATGAATTCAAAAATGATTTCCAACTTGATTGCAAAAATATTTCCACAAATTTTAAAAATGAATTTAATGAATTTGGATATTAGAACTGATGCGGACGAAAAAAAAATTATATCGCGCAAAAATGCTGCCATCGAGTTGTTCAAAAAAAATATTTCGCAGCATTATGATAAAGTATACTTGAATTATTCCATCTTCTGATATTCATTTGGTATACATTGGGTTTTTTGGATTGAGATTAATCCACTCACACAATCCATGGTTGTACTTTTTCCACGTCCGACCCTTTTGGAGTGAATTCGAGAAGCACTAGAAAACCACTACTAAAGTCAAAGCCTTCAGAACTTTTCGATTTATAGTCATGAACAATGGGAAACAAATCAGCACAAAACGTTTGGGAAATACTAAACTGCGTGTTTGGCATTCAGTGCTTGTGCGACGCGTTCCACTGAAATACTGGCAGTCTTTGGTTGACTGAAGTTCTTGGGTCTCTCACAAATTTTCCAAAATTCAAGGACAGGATTTTGTCCTTACTCTGGATTCTAAAAAAAAATGCGTAAAAAATACCAGACACGTTTCACTCATTTCAAAAAAGGCTACCTGTCTCATTTATTTTTCGAAATTTATTTGTTAAACCTTATTAAACCCTACCAAATATTTAAGTTTACCCAGAATATTTTGAGAAACAATTGCTTGTTTTTTAAAATTATTTTATATCCCAAAGTGGGGTTATTCATCAAGGGGGAAATCACTTTTATCTTCCAGTGTTTGCAAGACACAAAAAGAGGCACCAGGAGTTTCAAAAACTTTCGTAAACTTTGGCATTTTCGCAAACAAATCAATGTTTCAAACTTCCAGCAAATAAAGCTACCGCTTTCCCGCAAAACTTTACACAGTTGCAGAACTCTCACTGAACATAAAAATGTGAAGAACTATTTGGCCCCTGCTGATGTAAAAACACTGGGGGAGAAGTTCAGAAAGAAAAAATACTGTGTAAAGAATAAGGGAAGAAAGGAAAAGCATGAAAAGCGATGAAGGAATGCACGAATGAAAAGCAACTTCGTGGAATAGTTTCCTTGAAAACACTGAGCGAATTTCTTCCTCTCCACCGAAAAACCAGGACAACGGCTTTTTTTTCTGCTTATCCATGACGTGACTTTGATTTGAACGACGTGTTTTTTTTTCTTTTTGCAAAGATTCAAGCAATAATTTCTCTTCGAAATTTTCATTGCGTAGAATTCACTGAGGATCTTTGTTCATCATGCATCTTGGAGCTTTTTCCTCATTGATATATTTGAAAAAATTTGCGGATTTATTACACGTATTCACTTGAGAACATTTCAAATCACTGGAAATTTTCAGGAAATGGACATCGAAAATTGTTTCAGCTTTTTTTATGCTGAAAGATCTTGTAGGAATGCATGCCTCTGTTCAATATGCATGGAACACTTACAGAATTTCTGTCCTCATGTCTCTTTTGGAAAATAAAAATGTAAATAAACGCGGTATGAGCAAGAATTCGTGCAAGATACTTATACTGTGATATACACGCTGGGTTAGCATCACTGAAAGGACTAGTAGCGACCTCTATCCGAGAATTCTCAACGTCTAAACTTTCTTCCCCACAGATGCCGCACCAAGTTCAACTCTGTTTTATCTCATTTGTGAAGAAGTTACTGCTTGAGCCTGTTGGCAGCCGGGTATTCAAAGAAAAACCTCACAAGTATTTGAATATTCATCAGCTATCAGGGAATGAAGCTACAGCATGACTCATGTCATATGTCACCCCATGTCAAGTTTTATCTGTGAACTTGTATGTATATGCATAACAATCGTAGTGTGGAAATTGGTGCACACTGGGGATGTGGTTGTGATTCTACACAGTGACCCTGCTGTGCACCTGAAGGGTACCAAAGTTCTTTGCACACAGGGGATATGGCTGTAATTCTACACAGTGACCCTGCTGTGCACCTGAAGGGTACCAAAGTTCTTCTGTTGCACATGCATGTCCCTATAATGTTCACCAATTGTGTGTTCAAACCAGGATTACTCAGGGTCACATTTGTGAACAAATAAGTTACACCAAAGGTAACAGTTGGTGCAATTGTTTGATACTCATGCTCTGTCAAAATTGTGCAACAAGTTTAGCCCTGGAATGGTAGCAAAATTTCCTCTATACAGGAGTGCACACTTGTAACCCCAGAATATCCCATATGCACCAGTTGTGACCCTGGTGTGCACCTATACTGTGGGGTCACAGCAAAAATAGCTCCCCACTTGGGAAGGGTTGGGGACTGAGGGGCGCACATATGAAACAGCAAATGAATACTATGTCCTGCAACCAGCATCCTGTAAACTGGTGCCAGGGCTTGTATACAGAGCCCAGCGCCAAAGAACAAACCCCCTGCAAAAACCTTCAATACTTGTAGGACAATGCTGCATGTTGTTTTTGCTTCTAACAGGCCAATCAGAAATTAGGAAAGAATCCCAACCTTCATCAAGCACAAGTTCATCACTGCTTTTTCTCAATAATACATAAAAGCCTTCAAGAGCTTAAAAAAACCTCACATTCTCATTTCCATGATGATGAGATTCCACTGCTAAATACCCAACAAATTCCCTAGAACAAATGTTTGAATTATGGTGTATGTGTATTTCTCTGGAAGAAGATGGTGAGTTGTTGATTCTTTTGGGGCTTGAATAAACATCTGATCATTCTCCTGTTTCTCAATAATACAATAATTTCTTGTTTTTAGTGATGAATAAAAGCCTCAAAACCTTGAAAAAAAACAGATCATTTGTCAAGCCGGTAACTTACAAAGGGTTTTAGGAAACGTTAAGAAATAGCTCAGCAATGGAGTTTGGGGCCTCAGAGTGGGAGCCTTACACAACCCTCAACTCTTATTCAGAGGAGGTTGTGTCTCAGCATCCCAGACTCATCACAGGTCCCCAGCATTCCCATCAGCATCACTAAAGATCACAACACAGACAACAGGATAGGAGAGGACTGACTGCAGATTGACCAAGACTGAGAAATGACTGACACCAGACTTGGGACAAGACCAATAGAATACTGACTGAAGACTGAGTAAAGACTGATTGAAGACAGATCAAAGGCTGATAGAATACTGACTGACTGTGCATAATGCACAGCCCTTTTATACAGGCCAGAATAACCTTGGGATTGAGCCAAGGGCAACCTAGTTGACCCTGGCTAAATCCCGTTTCCAGGCAGGTTTTCCATTCTGCCAAAGTTGCCCCTTCTGAAGAGGTTCCCAGGCAGTCCAATAATGCAGGCTGATTGTGGTGCTTTATTCATAAAATATATTTGTTTGTGGAATTCCCTAAAACCAACAGAAGGACATGGAAACATATTGAAGAAAACTTCCCTCTGTGGAGTTAGTATATCACTTTCTTTATTATTGGCCAGTCTCAATAATAGACATGGTTTTTTAACACAGTTTCAATAAACAAGACAACCATTCATAAATGCACCGGTTTTTGAGTAAACAAAAAACACGTTTCCTTTTTTTTCTACTGCTTGCAAATGTCTGTTGATAATATATATATACAAATTCTTCAAGTCTGAATTTTCGTCACCTCATTAAAATCATCAACTGACGGCAATAAACTTTGCTTGTTATTTCATTGACTATAAACGCTTTCCCTGGTTCGTCATGCATATTCAATGCTTGAGAGAAGATATCAAGCAATAAACCCGTTTCTGCCATTCAATTTTTTTGAATAATTCGCGTTTAAATATTCTGTATGAATAGATACAGAAGATTTAGAATTTTGATTCAAAATGGTTCGTGATAACTTGGACGTTTTAATCGAGTTTAAATGCAATTGTACTTTTTTTTTCGTCTACAGAACATATTCCTCTCTTTACAATATTAACACAACGAAATACTCTTCTTAAAATATATCCCTTCTCTGCCGTCGAGAAATTGTTTGTGCAAAAAATTGAAATGAGAATCAGAAAAGAAGAAATTCGAAACATGTCTCTGATCCTTCATTCTTTCAACCATAGACGAAAATTTAACAATTTTCTGCGCTTAATAGTTATTCTTTGTTGAAAATAAAAGTCTTTTGAAGTATTGTAAAAAAGGGCACAGATTCATAATTATTTTGCAGGGTATGTGATACAATCAGGGGGAATAATTAGATGACTTCCAGTAGTTTCCATCCTCCATGGAATATATTTCCAACAATGAGTGCCAATTGCTTGCTGAGTGGAGGAGACGTATCCAAAACGAGGACTCGGCCAATTTCTCCTTTCGCCAAATTATTCAGCATAATTCCTGAAAGAAACATTTCGGGATGAAAAATTCGATACCAATTTTTTGTTAATATTAAGGAATTATTACTTTTGTCTCAAACCTTCGCATTTCACTACGAGTGATCGAGAATAATTTAAAGGTATAATGTGCAGAAAATGATATTTTCTGCAAATTATTATATAGCAATTTTTAAATAAATGCGAAATTTTCTTAACATTTTCTGAGACTCTGAATTTTATGCTTCCAAAAATAAACCAGCCACTTTCCACTGAAAGGAACTAAAAATCTCGGGGAAGAAAAATTCGTTCCAAATTTTATTTTATAATGAATGACTCCTCATTATTCTTCTTTCCCTAAAAAACTGATTAATTTAATCGTCAATATCGTTTTATTTTTACTTTTAAATCAAACTTTCGCGTTTCATTATCTCAGCGATCGTGAGTAAGTAAAAAAATTCAGTGTGAAGAATAATATTTGTTGCTAATTAATGTATAGCATTTTTCCGAATGCATGCAAAATTTTCTCAAGATTTTCTGAGACTCTGAATTTCATGCTTCCGAAAATAAAGCAGTGACTTTCCAGCAGTGAGGCGAACTAAAAATCTCGAAGAGGACAAATTCGTTCCAAGTTTCAGATTATAATGAATGACGCTTCATTTTTCCTACCATGAATAAAAAATAATTTATTTATTTATATATTCGGGCATAAATATTATTCTCACCGACAGGATCATCAGGCTTGTCAGATTTGAATCTCATGTTAGCCGATCTCACATCAAGATCGCAATCTGACTTGGAAACCGCAAGTTCGCCATTCTTTTTGGTTCTGAAATGCACCTTCAATTTCACATCTGCGTCCTCTACAAAGATGAAGTAATTGAAAATTCAATTATTGCCTTTTTTAATTAGGTTTCCATTCCTTTCAAGAATCTCACCAATCGTAACGAAGGACGATCCAGTTGTTCTCAGTCCTTCAAAAGCCTCCGCTTGGCCCAAAAGGGAGCCGAAATTAATGGTCATGTCATAAACGCTTGACCCAGTGATCAATGGAGCGAAAATGTTCAAAGACATCACTTTATTCTGCTCATCGTACCTATATAAGGAAAAATGACGCCGCAATTTTCATCTCCATCAACAGAAAAAAGGTAGAAATATATTTTCAGTTTTTTTGTTGTTGAGGGGAACTCACGAAAATTTGACTCTTTCCGGTATGAAGCTGTCAGTGATGTTGTAAATTTTGAATTCTTTCAAAGTCCCTTGCAAGGAAGCATCAGTTCCCATTCTGTATTCATCCAGTGCCAAGGGATTAACTGATGGAATGTTCAATTCAGGAATTCCTCTGGAAGATTGCATGTGTGGTTTGACTGCGAAGAAAAATTTCGTGGCACAGTCCTCCAGCCTTCTCGGAGATTTGCTCACTGCCAACCAGTTTTCTCTGCATGCCAACAAATCCTTCCCTAAATTTAATCCGTGGATTAAAAATAAAAATTTGAATGCCATTTATTGAAGGACTTTTTTTGCAGTTTATGTGGCTCACCATAGGGACCATCAAGCACTGGTCCACTCAGGCAAATTGGGATAAGAAAATAAAACACTGTCCAAGAATACCACATATTCAAAAAAATTGCAGGTCAAGTTAAACTGCAGTGTTTTCACCTGGACCCTGGATTCAGAAATAAGCCTCAATCCAGGAAAGAAAGTCAGTTTTATACAATTTGTTCGGTCTTGATGTGAAAAAAAAACAGGGAGCTTTTCTTCCCAGGCACTGAGTGCCTTCCATTGTTCCCACCAGGCCTCATTGTCTTGAAAGTGATGGAAAAAGATTGTCATCAAACCTTCGGAGAGTAAAACCTGTGAATATAATCTTCATTATTTCAGAATGTAGGTTTCAAATGCCTCTTTCCTGCGAGTCAAAGAAGTATAAAAAGTATATTATTCATAGAATGAACGATTTTCAGATACTGAAAGGGGTTTTTTGAAATTTTCTCCCAAAGTTTGAATCATTAGGGAAAAATGTTTCCTTTTACTCTTGAATTATTACCATGCACAAAGTCTGATATTATGATTGTACAGTGATGCACTGCATTTTCATTCATGTGAAGCAAACTTTTCTGAATTTTTTAATGTAGTTGAATATAAAAATTATCTTTGAATAGTTAAATAATTGGAGAAAAGAGTTTGTAAAGTTTTATTAGAGTACGAAAGTCTAACTAATTGTGAGATATCTAAAGAAAACAGAGGAATGAAACTCAGCTTATTTATAGGTTGACTCAATTTTCCCTTAATGAAGGCATACATTTTTGCCAGACAAAGTAATGATATTCAAATCATGAGAGCAAACATATTTTTTGCAGGAAATCCAATTATTTAGGTCTGACTCCAGTAGAAACAATTCCACATTTTTTGCTGCTTGTGAATTCAATTTTTCCAAAAAAAGGCTTTTAAACTTCCACTGTGTATGTCTCAGTTCTGAAAGTGACGAAGATTTGTATCAGAAGAATAAAACTCAGCTTGCTTCAATGAAATAATGACTTTATTTTTCCACAATAAAAGCATACTTTTCCAACAGATGCACAAAATAAAATACAACATAATTCATGTCCTCAGGGTAAATATTTCTCGCGGGAAAATCCAAACAAAATTACGTTTTTTTGAAAATTCCGATTGTCAAAGGCCTTCAGCAGGTTCTTCTCCTTCATTTGCAGGAGCTGGGTTGTTATCTTCAGGCTTTGGTCCACAAAATACCGCAATCAAGTCATTGTAGAACTTCTGTTTCAAGGGAAAAATCCCTGCAAATTCCCCGGGAATTTGCCTCAAAACGCTTTGAAACTCAGAAAAACTTTGGGCATTTGGTTCTTCAGAATTTGTGAAAAGAATTGCGAACCTAGCTTCCGGATTTCTGAGTCCATTTGGGCTTGATTTTGTGGTATTATCCTTGGTCTTCCAGGCATTTGAACTGGGGATTAAAAAAACACACCTAATAAATTTCTAGACACGCACCAAAAGAAGAAGAATATGCATATTTTACTCACTTGAACTTGGAACTCTTTTCTCTTGGTCCGCATTGAACCAAGTTAAAGTCCAAAAAAATCAGGCAGAGCACAAGGAATGTCAAAATTTGCAAATGATTTTGGACTTGCATTTTTTTCTAGCGTCCACTACCGAAAATATTTTAATCTTTCTCGGAAAATTTTTGAAGTGAAACTGAACGATTTCTGGAGAAAACCTACAGGGTTTTTATATACGTCAGAAAAGCTCCTCCAAGTGTGGTGAAAAATCGCAGCGGAAGTGAATCGGAAAATATTTTCCAGAGGCAAAATAAATTTTGCAACATCCTTGTGATTTTTCTGGTCCACTTCCAATGGTCGGAAAAACTCGCGAATTTTACCAGAAGAGGTGCTTTTTTATTCGTTTTTATTCAATTTTTCTTATGTCAGTGTTTAAAAAGCATTTCCTGGGAATTGAGGATGTTTTAGCTGATTCATGAGACCGTTTCTAATTGAAATAGGAACAGCCTTTATTTGTTTGTCTTGTGGAAAAGGTTAGGAGACAATTGTTACATTATTCCTCAAGTTCAAGGTTAAGAGTTCATCACTGAAAAAAGCCTTGGTTTATAAAGGTTATTGTTCCCAAGAATCCTTCATGGTTTTTCACAAAGTAACAATGTTTTGAATAAAATTTATGCATTTTTGAATCAAATGAAATCTTGAAGAGTGATAATACAATAACTAGTGCAATGTATCATAATAACTTGAAATGTCATGATAGAGCAATTTTTCAAATACAATAAAATATAATTTTATATAATACTGTTGCACAGCTTTTTCAGTACAACACATTTTTTTCAATGTCCCAGCAGCAATCCTGTGAACAATTTTGTCACAAAAAACTTGCCAATTCTGGTATAACAAACTTTTTGAGGAACACATTGTGATGTTCTGATGGAAATTCCCCAATGACAAGGTAGGCACAGTCTCAAATTTTCCATTAAAACTATGACTGAGAACAGTTCTTGGGACAAATATGGTGGAATCATGGACAAACATTCTTTAAAAATTACCTGAACATCCCCTCTCTCAACATATTTTTTGGGTTGAGAAACATGGGGGTGGAGGTGTAAATAAAAAAAGATGAACCAAACAAAATCAGAATTAAGAGGGGGTTTATAGGATTATTGTGATTGTTGGGCCAGAATGGACCAGGTACAGTTGGCAATAAAAGACCAAGTGTATCCTCCTTATCAGGAAGCCTTCAAACTCTTTTAATATTGGCCAGAATGACCAGACAGGACACCAACAATCAGCTGACCAGGCGCAGGCACATTGGAGCATCAGAGAACAAAACAGACATTACTTCAACAATCAGGCATGTCACACATCTGGACACAGAAAACCTCTGTGTGCTGAATCAGAGCTGGAACTGGAATGAGAAATCAGAGGCATTGATTAATCCTTGGGCTGTTGTGGGTTCTTCTGTGCCAATATGCAGGTTTCTGCATTTTGGTTTGATTGAAGGTCACCAAAATGATGAAGCTTTAGCTGAATAGCCTAAGTTGGGAAAAATCCCACAGAAAAATTGGCCTAATAAGCCCCCAATTGGAAATCCTATGGCAGGAATGCAGAAAAAATTACCAGGCAGCAGTAACTTTTTCATATATTTTTTCACAATTTTTTCTGCAGGAATGCTAACCAAAATTGGGATTTTTCCCAACTTTGACTCTTTGGGTAATTTTTGTTTCCCCTTTCTTCTACTCCTTGGGGAAAAACTTTTTTTGGAAAAATCCTGGCATTAAAAAATCTAAGCTCTACTGGAATATGAATAATGTACTACTTCAGAATTAATTTAAAACAACAATGACAGATTTTTGCAAAATTCCCTTCGCTTATTAGGAATCAGAGTTTAAAGTTCATTATGGCAGATGTCGCACCAAAGTTGGCATAAGATAATCATGGTCAACGAAAATTTGTCTAGACCAGCATGCATGACATTTTATAGTTTCTGACCTTATTTAGGCAACGTTCAGAGGGTTTATAAAAGCGAAGTTTTTTGGCAGCAGTTTGTTTTTAAATTCGCCAACATTTTGCAGCTTACCCCAGAAAGTACTTTGAAGACATTCCTGAATAAAGATAGCTGAAACCAAAAATTAGTTCCAGGTCTTCGCATTTTGTTCACAATGCATGAGGATATTTTGTTCTGATATCAAACCATGGATCCTGTGTCACCATCAAATATTTATACGGATATTATCTTTCAATACATGATACCAAGACATATTCATCCCTGTGATGAATGAAATTCTGTTCATTTGTGGTTTTCTGCTGAGTGGTTGTACCGTATATAAAGGACTTTCTTTTTTGTGTGTATTTTCCTGCTTTTTTCTGAGTGGTCTTGTATGAAAAAAGAAGTTTTTCTGTAAGGGTTTGTGTGGCGATTTTCCCTCCTTCCTGGTTCCTTGCTAAACACGCAGGACATCAGCATTGTTAGAAACGGAAATGGCCTCGGGGCAGAAATGGTCCGCTGGTCAGGGACCAGGAGTATATGTTGACTGGTTGATCCAGTCCTAGGAGTCAGTGGTCAAACAGCTTTCAATCCCAACAATTTTATTGGTTGGAGTGTGTGTCTTAATTACAGTTGGCAAGCATATGATTCCAAGTTCAGTGCAATAATTTAATTTTTTTTTCATTTTTCTTCTGTGGAATAATTTATGCACTTACAGTACTTTAAATGATTCTCGATTTTCAAGTTCGCACGTTATGGTTTTGTTTTTCATAAATCAGAGCTACCACACTTATTTGTGAATTGAAAGTGTCAGAAAATTCACTTCTGGAATATAGTAGGACTTGGAATTATTGAATTTTAAAAGTTCACTTTGGAGGATATTTTTCATGAAACGTTTGAAATTTATCTCGACTCCAGTCCTGTATATTTTCAGTTTCAGTAGCCGAGAAAAACGAGAATAAAAGTTTCAAAACAAACAAAAATGATATTGATGTTGTCAGTGAACGTCAATTTTGATTTAAAAATCACATTTTTCCATAATTATTTGCGGCGAGTCTCATTTTTGAATATTTCGATTGACAGAAAAGATATGGTCCACACAAAATTATGAGGACGTGTTTCTGTCATGGTTTTCTGCGAGAAAGCTTCACTTTTTAATGTGCTTGGAATTTACGCAATTTTTGAGCTTGTTGGAGAAAATTTTAAGTTTCAATGATAACGAATTTTAATTTTTGATTACTTGAGTTCCTCATGATGTTGTTGAGGATTCTAAAATAAGAAAAGATCTCAACACAAATTAGAAGAAATAAAATGTAAGAATTGGGTGAGGTTTGATAAAGGAATAAAAATGCAGAATCCGCCTGGGACAAGGCAGGGAATCTCAGGTCAAATTCCAAAAATGAAAAGAACTAAATATATTTCTGAGATTATTTACAAGTCCCAAAATAGACACACACAAATTTGAAAAGGTTGAAAGTTTTTAGAATTTCCTCTCAGCAAAACTCTTTGACATGTGGAAGATGCTCCAAGCAACGATTCTTGAAGACTGGTAGTAGTCTACTGTTGAAATCGGGCTTTTATTAATAATTTAATTTGTTCTAGATTTTTCCTTGATCCAGGATGTGGATCAAGGATGGGGGTTGGCGCCAAGGCATCTGATTGGTGCAAC